TCTTACCGAAGGAATGTTTGTTAGAAATGTGTATGCGTGCGCGTGTGTATGCGTGTGTGTGTGTTTGTATGTGTCTGTGTGAGTGTGTGTTTGTGTGTATGCATGTGTGTGTTTATGTATGAGTGTGCACGCATGAATGTAGCGAAAGATCAATTGCAAAAACTATGACTAATAATTACACCAGCAAGTAAACGCGCACGCACAAAAACACACAAACACAAATAAACACACACAAACATACGCACACATACACACACAAACACACACAGACAGACAGACGAGCCCGTAAATAATATTTTTGAATCATTATGTACACACACCAGCTCACAAAGATAAAAAAGTTGATGACGCCATCATCATACGTCACCGATATAAAAACCGGCTGCATTAAAAACTGTGCTGGTGTGTGTGTGTACGTGTGTGTGTGTACGTGTGCGTTCGTGAGTGTGTGAGCAAATATTACAATACCATACCTAAGTCATACATGCAATTTAACAATAAAATTTGTGTTAAACAAAAATATATTGCGATGTATACAACAAAGGAGTCGATTACATACAATACAATACAATACAATACAATACAATACAATACAATACAATACAATACAATACAATACAATACAATACAATACATTACAATACAATGTTTGTATGTAATATAATACAAAATATAATACAAAATACAATACCGCATGTTACAATACAATACAAAAACACCAATATATACAATACCTTGTGTATTGTATATATTCGATGACTAAAAAATACAAAACTATGCGGCACTACACATTTCGATACAAAAAACGATACAATACAACACTGCAACATACAAAACAGTATGGCGCACATATACAATTCGCGATACAAAAAATTATACAAAAGAATCATCGACTTGCATCAGCAATTCTTCAGACTCGGCTAAGCTCCAGCAATTATAACGACAATTATTATTATTATCATTATTATTATTGTTGTTGTTTTGTTTCTGTTGTTAATAATAATAATGACAACAATAATAATAATAATAAATAGTAATGAATGATATCTATAATAAACAACAACTATAACAAAAAGTAATGATTATCAAGAGAAAAATTTCAAGCAAAAAAAATTTGGAAGACAGAAAAAATTGTAGAGAGAGAGAGAAAGAGAGAGAGAGAGAGAGAGAGAGAGAGAGAAGGAAAGCGAGGGAGAAAGAGAAAGGGAGAGAAAGAGAGGGATAGAGTGGGAGAGAAAGAGGAAGGGAGGGAGAGAGAGAAAGAAAGGTAGAGTGGCTAACAATTGATCATTCTGCAGTCAGTCAGTAGCCAATGAGAACGTGGACCGGACGATAAATCATCACGTGATTAATAACTGAGTCTCCAACTGTCCTTCTCTCTCTTTCTTTCCCTCCTTCTTATACTCTCTCTCTTTCTCTCTCTCTCTTTCCAAAAAAATGACAGTTTAAAAATTTGTGAGATAGTGAAAACTGAAAATGCTTCAGAAGGAAAAAAAAACTCTGAAATAAAAAAAAGTTAAAAATTGAAAAGAAAGAGTTTTTTTCAAAAGTTAAAAATAGAGCTTTGGGAAAAACCTTGATGGGATTTCATCCATGGGAACATGGGCTGAACATTCCCCCCCTCATCTGTGGCCTCATCGTCGTCTGCTACGTCATCGTCGTTATTGTTTCCGGCTCTGTCGTCATCGCTATCGCTAGAACCGCCACTTCTGTTACTGCTGTTGTTGTGATTGTTGTTGATATTGTTGATGGTGTCTTGGTTTGAGTTGCTCATGTTGTTGTTGTTGTTAATGTTGTTGTTGTTGTTGCTTTCATTTTCATCATCGTCGTCGTTATCGTCGGTACTTTTGTTACCGCTGCTAGCAGTGTTGTTGTTGTTGATGATGCTGGTATTGTTGGAGTTGTCGGGAATTTTTGATTTTTGTAATTCAGTATCAGCATTGTTGTTGCTGATGTTGTTGGTGCTGCAGTTGTTGTTGTTGATGTGACGCTTATTAATGTTGTTGCCGTTAAAGTCGTCGTCTTCCGGCTTAATGTCATTGATGTTTTGTTGAGTTGTTTTGTTGAACACGCCGCTGCTCTTGTTGCTTTTGTTATTCTCAATTATGACGTCAGAATGTAAAGAGCGAGCTATATTATTGTTGTTACTGATGTTGTTGTTGTTGATGTTAATATTACTGTTGCTGTTGTTGTTTTTGAAATAATCATTCTTAATAGACGACGACGAAGATGAGTTTGAGAGGGGTGGCGATGAACTGAGATCAGCCGTGCTATCAATGTTGTTGTTGTTGCTGCTGTTGCTGTTCTTTTTATTCAACAACAAGTTTTGATGTTGTTGTAACAATTGACTATTTCCGCCAGTGTTATTATTGTTGTTATTGTTGTTGTTGTTGTTAGTGGCGTATCTTAGAGCCGCATAGCTCGAAAATCTCGGGTCATCCATGATTGGAGAATGTTGTTGGAATGATGATAATGATTGCTGCTGTTGCTGCTGCTGTTG